GTGACAGAATAATAACATCTGAAGCGTCTTTGAGTATCCTGAACAGCGCAATATAAAACCGATCCATTATTATTATTATTACTTCGCTCCCACCCACCTGTGTTTTAGTATTTCATGTTTGACAACTTACTGTTTACCTACAGGGAAGGCCATAACGTGCTATCCCTTATTTACACGCACAATAGTTTACCGATGTCAGCACGAATATACTGTATGTTGGTGACAATGGGAATTAAACATGAGACCACAAACCCAAACCGACACTATGCAAACACAAGCAGTAACTGACATGACAGACAAGGAAACTGGATTGCAATAAAAAAATAATCGTTTACCAGTTTGGTAAGAATGCGGGAAGAACGTGCGAAGTGTGAAATCGACTCTAGGGTATTCTAACCACTGTGCCGCCCCAAACCGTTTTGAGACCTAGGAACTAGTTTCATTTCCTATTATTTCTATCTTATTGTGGTTTGCAAATTAGGTACTCCAGCTTTTAAGATTGTTTTAGTAGTAAATGTCAGTTTTCACTTTCAAATGTTCATAGAGTTTAATGGTATTGTCCATGGTGCTCAATATCCTCACACTCCTGAGAAATAGTAAATAAACTACAAGAACTGGAAGATTATTTGATGAACATTAGTTTATTTTGTATTTTAATTTCTTTGTATAAAGTGTATGCACACATTGTATAAGATAAATTAAATTACATTTGAAAGGACCAAAACAACGACAGTGCAAGCCTCTGTCCAAGTTAAATTCAGGCCAAAAATGCATTATCAATCCAGTGTATCCTTCACACAAAGCCGCTGTTTTGGGGGTCTGACAACGCAATTTTTTGAAACCAGGTTCAAGACTGGAAAGATCTCAAAGCTTTGTAGAGATTCTGAGAGGGTTACGTCATCACCGCCTCCTGATGAACACATGTGTCACACTTAAAACATAACAACAAGGCTGCACGGTGTTTGTTTGTGTCCAGCGGAAGCTCATGAGTCAACTAACGCTATTACTGCAACATTTCCTGAAATCTCAGTTTATGCATCTGTGCACAACTGAGCAGGCCCGATCAAATCGCTTCACAGATCATCTGGCCTTGATCTCATTGCGTCACAGCGCCACCAGCAGCCCTGGCATAGTTTCACCGCGTCTTCAGGCGTATTGACTTCATGTGGATGCAAATGTTCAGTGAGCCGACTCGTGTTTACAGAAAACGTTTCTGAAACTAGAAGCGTTCTGACTTTGAGTGGATGTAGCCTTAGAGATTTAATTGCAACCTACATACATACACACTATCACAACACAAGCTCACGTGTGCCTGCTCCCTCGTCTCCAGCAGGCACCTCACCACCTCCCCCCTGCCATTGATCACCAGGTGCCGTTATAAAGATGATGCAGACGGTTAAGAAAAACTCCTACTGCACGTTTCCTGTGTGCGGTGGAGACAGTTTGACAGCCACAGCAGCAGCTCCTCTGGCTGGCCCCAGGCCCCGAGCAGACGCAGCCTGGGTACAAAGGTGTGTGGTACAAGACAAACTTGTGGTTCGACTGAAGACGCAACACGAAGACGGAAAAGAGAGAGCAGAGAGAATCAGGGTGTGCGGTTAACCCGACAAACAGCTACAAACGTAATCAAATGTCCAAGGAGTGGTTATAGTCATCTTAATAATACAGCGCATACCTGCTGTAAAGGAACACAATGTTTATCATTGATAATTGACAATAAAAGGACAAACCCAGCTTAGATCTTCCAGGAAGTTGTCTATAAAAAAGTATGTAATTGACACAGTGATCTTATTGTATTGTGATTTTAAAGATTCTTTTATGGATAAGGGTTGTCAAAAGCATCAACATTTTAATCAATACGGAAACTAATATAGCAACTTAACTGCAAAATTACACAAATACAGCAATGTATTTGTATTATTTTGAACTTTATTTGAAGAATTAGAAAACTATCGTGGAATCGTTCAAATTATGCTTTTTCAAGTCTGATATACCAATCAATATCTGCCTGATAGCAAGTATAAACCGATTCAAGTGAAGGGATAGCTATTCTTCTCCCCTGAAATCTCAGCTAACTTAGCTTTGTGTTTTAAACCAGCTGTTGATCCTGCAACAACAAAACCACTGTCTGAGTCGGGTAAAGCTAAACTTACTGTACAGTATATGACATGCAAGGCTAATATCCGCCAGTAAGAACACTTATTACATCATACTAAAGGCCGAGTTAAGATATCAACTGAGCCCTATCCAACAAGATATCTGGCAACAATATGTATGTATCATATCAGTACAACTCTAAAAACGTATATATACATTTTTGCTACAGCTGAAAAAATATGTTCAAATTATTGTAGTATCCATTATTTCCTTAAAATGTAAGTATCGTGGCAACACTAGTGAGGATCAGAGCGAAGAGAAGTGAATTGTCTGTTTGTGTATGATCTCTCCTCTGATGTACAAAGTTTAGAGACTTTTACCAGGGCCAATAGTGTTATGGTGTAGTTATAAAGGTGTATTTGGAAACAGGACCATTCGAGTGATCTCAAAGCTACTGTGATGATTTGAAGGTCAGAACAAAGAGTGAATTACAATATACCTCAACAAACGAGACAAATGTTGAATATGGATCGTGCAAGAATAATACTGGTATATCAATGACTTCGACGTTGTGTGGATCTAGATGATAGAGCCAAGGATGTAACTAAGAAAGCTACGACTACAACAAGTTGATTGTTTAATACCAGAGTGTTTTTTTCGACTGCTGGCACACCTTCCTCCTCCATGTGCCATCTTGGACTATACACCGGGACATGGGGGCCTTTTTACTCTGACAAACCTGCGATTCTGTCTCAGGTGACAAAACAGGTCACAGGAACATCAGGTGACTATTGTGAGGTTCAAAGAAACTACTCTGGTCTTAAAAATATATACTTATTGAATCTATCCGGAGACCAAATGAATCTCGTTGGACTAGAGCTACTACTAGCTGAATACTCCTTTTAACAATTATACACAATTATATGGTAAAACAGAACTTTATAAGGTGTGGAGCAAATTAGCAGAAGATTGGATAATTGTATTGGTTTTCACGGAAGGAAGAAAACCTTAATACACATCAACCTTGCATTTCTTCAGTTAATAACAGCTCAAAGTATTGTATTGTCATGATACTAAACTACAAACTCAATTTAGATATTGGGAAAAAATACTCTATACTGAGTACCAATTTTGTTTCAACAGCATATTTTTTTACTCTAAATAATACTTTTCATGGGGCCACAGCAATTCTCCAAAAATATCCACGTTTGTAAATGTATTTTATATATACTTGCACTAATTAGCGTTGAGTTTCATTATGGAATATGTTATTAATATCTGATTTTCAATACAACTCTAGAATAGACAGGCTATAGGTACACTATATAGATCAGGGGTGTCCAAACGTTTTAGAAAGCTGGCCACTTTAGTTAACCAAACTTGTCCATAGACTGAGAACATGGAAGATAAAACTGTTTTGACTGGATTTGGACTGTTCCTGGCTTTAAAATGGGGTATAATATGTCCATACTGACCGATACATTAGCACCATATATTGACATTTGTGACAAGATTTAAAAATAAATGTCACTAAACACAATTATACTACAGATATAGTATAATTTTAAACATGCCTTTATATCGATTGTTTACTATTTTATAACTGGCTGGATGACACTGAAAGTTCCTCAATGGCTACTTAATGTCAGCAAGGAAGAGGGCAACATAACATGACACTGTGGGCCTCGTTTGGCCCGCGGGCCGTGGTGTGGTAGATGCTCAGCGTTAATTGATAATTGGAGCTTATGTGGAGTTTGCACTTGACTAAAGCCAGAGCAGAGCGGCAGCAGTGAATGGCCGTGGCTTTACAGTAGGCTTCACTATCTCCTTGCGAGGGGTAATTAAAGAGATTGGAGGTTTACTCAGTAACCCCTGATGAGCAGCTGGTCTCCGGCAGGTCAGAGCAGCACATGGTGCGTGGAGCCGTGTGTGCTGAACTCCACCTGCGGGCTGTGTACACAAAAGCACCGTGATCCGCTTGACTGCTGCTAATGCGCCCGGCGGCTTCTATCTGAGCCCAACAATACAGGCGCTGTTAAAGGTCCCGGATTACAGAGCCACTCCACTGACTCCCATGGGTGCTGGCGGAGTGTGACGAGCATCACAAGGAAACTGGGTGACACGCAACGTAACCAAGTGTGCTTCAAGTTTACCAGAAGCAAACAGTAGCGCTGTTTGATCATAGACGAGTTAGACGGGAAAGATAACATAACGATAAACCACAGTCACTTCAACCCAACCTCGCCTGCAGCTGCCCAGTCAAGCTGCGCACTGTGACCACCGCCACACCGGAAATGCACGTAAACACATTCAACCACAACTCTCAGAACACCCAATGCAAACTGTATTTCCATGACGCTAGCAACACCACCACACTCAAATATACCAACAAACACAGAGCAGTTGAGTGAAAACCACAGAAAACACATTCGCGCTCTGATGCCACGCTTTTATTTTGAAAATCCAACCGGTAGCAGTTTAATACAGCCGCGTTTGCATTGTGTGTATCGCTTTAACGAACGAGACTGCTTGATATTGTTTTAATGACCGATCCTGTCAGGTTGAGCACTGTAAAAAAAAAAAAAAAAAGAAAACACCTTCAAATTCAAATTCTAATAGTGTGTTTTACTCAAATGTACGCACGTATTTCGCAATTCAATGGAGAAAAAAAAGATTTGGTGCGGCAGCGATGTGAACATAGTCCCAGCTTCTATGCGCTTTCTAAGACAAACTGTGCAACCAACGAGCGCGAACAACCTCATCAAATTTATCCCCAGAAAGAAGTGAAGCGCAAAATGGAGTTCGGGTTTCATGCAAAGGGGGGGGAGCAGCACAATACACACAACACAGCGCGCAAACTTCAAGTGTGAGGCACTTCTAAACAACAGGAAACTACTACTCACCGCACCGAACGAGCTCAAGATCCGGGCTTGTCGCGCATATATCCTTTCTCTGTTTCCACCCCAGATTTAACCCAAAAGCACCTCCACCACAGCAGCAGCAGCAGCGAGCAGAGAGGGCACGGTGCGCGGATGAGACGCGGGCGGACGGGGTAGGAGAAGGACAGCACATGAACTGTCCTCAGGGAGAAAGAGCAAGGGAACAGGGCGGGGGGATGCGCGCGGAGGGGGGAGGAGGAGGAGGAGGGGAGGGGAGGAGGAGGAGGAGGAGGAGGGGAGGAGGAGGAGGAGGCCCATAGCACCTGCTCCACTGCTCTCCCCCGAGACACGGACACAGCAGGAGGAGGAGGAGGAAGAAGAAGAGGAGGGGGGCTGAAGCGCAGTCACAGCCCACCGATAACCCTAACCCGGCCTGGGCTTGTTTTTAGTGTCCGCTTGAGACAGAGAGGTGTGAGGGTTTTCCGAGGCTGGATCCCCCGAGTGCAAAGGAAAGGCGTTGTTTAGCACATGGGTAAAAAAAGATAATAATAAGCGTCATCTGACGTCCTCTATGTTTACCTTTCAATCAATGCAAATATCTATCTATCTATCTATCTATTTATCTATCTATCCTACTCTCTTTCTATCTATCTCTCTCTTTCTCTCTCTCTCTCTCTCTCCCTCTATCTCTATCTATCTATGTATCTATCTATCTATCTCTCTCTTTCTCCCCTCTCTCTCTTTCTCTCTATGTATCTATTTCTCTATGTATCTATCTCTCTATGTATCCATCTATCTCTCTATGTATCTATCTCTCTATCTCTATCTCTCTATGTATCTATCTATCTGTAGATCTGATACATACATATTTATCTGATACAGTGAAACATATTGCAATATTAAAGTTTGTGTATCTAACTTTTTGTTTCATGAATAATGCATGTCGTTTGTCTGGACAGAAGGAGTCTTGTAGGAGTGATGTTTGTGAACGAATTAGACCACAACATACTGTCTTCGTCTTATTTACAGCAAAAACGTGGTTTATCTTTTGCATAATGGAAAGAGCAATGTGGGTCACTATTGGGCGATCAGTGCTGAGAGCTGATTGTCTGAGTCAGGATGGTCCAGTCTTTTTCACTTTCCAGTCTAAAAAAGGATAAATTCTGCCTTGACTAGTGAAGTGGCAATAGCTACGTAACTGTTTCACACCTGTCCTGCTTATTTTACGGAGATACAAAATTATTATTATTCTTTAAGATGGAATTGTCTTGCTCACAACACATGTTTTGTTCCAGTGAAAAAAAGGAAAAGGAGCTTTATGTTTTTTAATATTTTAAAATATTAAAAATATCTTTTTAATATTTTATTGTGTGCAAGAAAACTATTGAGCTGAATTACTGCAAAACAATCCAGCCCTTAAGTTCTCCAGCAACTTCTCGCAATCAGTTTCGTGGCTATCCTGGGCAAATCTTGTTCCGATGCTTTTCACTTTTTCACGTTTTAACTTTGTGTTTAGTTTTTCCGCGTCTGAAATCACAATGTTAGGATGCTGCCTGGATCGTGATCACTGACATTATCCACTTGTACATCCTCCAGGCTCTGCATCAGCCCAGCATCAGCACAGCAGCCAGCTTCATTTAGTCCTTCTACACGTCCCCTGGGTCTCCTCCTCCTCCTCCTCCTCTTCTCGTGGTCATCCATCCCTCCATCCCCGTCTCCAACCAGCTGCTCCACTTTGCAGATAGTTAGCAGCTGTTTCACCGCCGCACTTCTATCTGCTGCGTCTTTTGGTTTTCTCCCCTGTTTGTGTTGGTCTCGAACATCAAATCTCAGTTTTGTGAAGAGGTAGTGGCTTCTCACATTCTTTGTCGTCTATCCTGGGGCCCATGGATACACACAGAACTCTCCTCCTCTATTGAGTCTTCCAAAGTCCCTTCCAAATAATGTAAAACAAGATGAAAATAGGAAGTAGGATATCTTGAAGTTTGTAATTAATATGTGCGATATTGTTTATATCCGCAGACAAGTCCCAATTCAGAGGAGAAAGTTAATAATATATACAGGAAGTGATGAGTTCACCAAGCCAACCCTAACCCTACCGTTGTGAAAGCTACTCCATTATATTCTCTTCCCTGATAGCCGTAGACTGTACATATATGGACCATGCTAACCCACTAACTCAATGAAGCCAAATAGGGAAGTGCTCATGGATGAAGTTTTGCTCCATCTCCCGGTGGCTCTTTTTGTCTTAAGTTGAAGAGTAAACTCCTCTAGCTCTATAATAATTTTTGTGACACTAGCCATTTCAGGCTTTAAAAAATCTCTGGTTTAGGGCTTTCTGTGATCCTGGTGTTTCTTTTGTGATGTATTGTCTTTGTAAATCCAGAACTTAGTCATATAAGGGTTGACCAATCAGATGGCTTCATTTGCAAGGTGGAAACTCCAGCTTGCCTTAGCAACACAACTGCCCCGTTAGGATACGAAGCTCTGAACAAATGCCTATTAAAGGAAATTGGCTTGTGCTAGCTTATGTTCAAATCAGCTTCTTCCGCATTCAGCAAACACTATGGTGACGTCAACACTCAGTCAGTCCCTTCAAGGACAGTTTTTGCATAAGAAAGTTATGTGAAAGTTTAAACAAAGGTGACAATATTTCTTCTTATCATTCCATAACCTTTTATTGTAATTAGTTTAGCTTGGGCCCTTTTTTAAGTTGTGGTTGCCATGTGGTAACTATGTCAGATCTGCTTCTTATGTTCAGACCTTAAGAACCCAGACCATAGACTGTACAAAACTTTCAAGTCTTAAATATATCCATCATAACTATAGTTTCAGGTGTCAACTTTGAGGTGCACTGCAAAACTTTTTTCTGATGGAGGTTATGTCTCTAAGGAGATGTAACTTTGCCAGATACCTTATTCATTCTTTGCATTTTTATCTTGAGTGGCCTCATCTCTCCACAGCTCTGCGTCTGTGACATTGACTTGTCCCATTTGAGTTATAATCATCAATCACGTATGTGGAGCAATTTCTCCATAGAGACTGCCCTCCTTGAGAATACACATTTTCCATCATATACACACTTACTATCAATGGTTTTAGATTGCGATTTAAGAGATCGCAATCATAACAAGATATACATGCCTTGACACAATATCTAAATACAAGGGTTTTCAATTCGATGTAATATTATTCTAAATGATCTGATACAGTGTACCCACTCTCGCTGTGTGAAGAAGAGGTTTCACAGGTCTTGCCTCCCTGATGATGTCAGAGTGTACAATGAGAATTGCTGAGCCTGTACATGTCATGTACATGTCTGAAATACTGCAATTTCAGAATGTCCTCTGAATGTCACTGCTACACTACACTATCTGCTGTCACATATGTACAGTATATATCATTTACATGTATATGTAGAGACACAGTATATATGCATATCTCTATATATATATATATTGATATTTACTTGCTGCTCTCTATCTCTGTACATGTTGTGTGTGCCCTATGTGCCTTTACTACTGTCCTGTCGCTGCAACACACAAATATCCACTTTGGGATGAATCTTTATAGATAAAGATTTTTGGCCGCTTATTTAAAGTGTATGTTGAAGATTAGTTGACTTGATTTAGTCAAAAAATCAAGTTAATTCATGTTTTTATCATTTATAATATGAATCAACAATGTTGTATGTATTTTTTTCAAAAATTGATTGATGTCAAAGAAATATTTTTTTAAAGAACACCCCTAAAAGAAAACTGGAAAGCCATGGATACACTTGGTCCCAGTACCTCTGTTTGGATAACCCTGATCCATTACATAAAGACACATGTAGCAGATTAACGCCCCCTACTTCTCTCTCCATAGAGACCAGCAGCACCGAACGGAAGAAAGGAGCGCGGCTAATCCCCCAAATCCAAGCCTACACTGGCCGGCGGAGGAGGGCGGAGGAGGGCGGAGTGGCGTGCTGCTGTACGGGAGGTAGGCTGAGCGTGTCTGTAGAGGCCTGGATGAGACATGATTTATGGCCCGTTTGGAAGCTGCAGGCAGACACGCTGGCTTCCCTCTGAGGTGGCTGTCTCACCTCCACCCTCAGTGACCTCACCGCTGTAGTGTGCTGGGCTCTGTTTGACTGGCCACAGGAAACGCACTGTGTGGGTAGAGGAGCAGGTGCGCCGTGATGGTGACGGTGAAATGCCACTGACAGGGAGCAAAACACAGCAGAAAGGTGTAAGGAGTGAGGCACGAGTGTGTGCAGAGATAAGGGGGACTTCAGGTTATGTTTGACAATGGTAGTCAGTCACCTGTTATGTGTTTTATGCAACTGTTGCTGTGATGGGAGGATGAGAATTTTACAAAATGCATCAAAACTGTAGTTTAGGATCATCATCTTGTCTTCTTAGTACATTACGTTTTTTGCTTATTCTATGAGAGACAAATGTAAGTTAGCGATGTTTCTACCATGACATGTTTCAACAGTATACTTCCATCCTTTCTGGACGTAAACAAGGTTATAACATCACAAGCTTTCATTTGTTGCAAACCAACTGCCAAGATGTTACAGATGAAAGACAGAAATACAACAGCATTGACACTTCCATTGTTTTTACTCAATAAAGGAAAATGATATGTTTATTTTGCTATACTATGTCACTTTTCTAGTGGCTCTTTATATTTCATGAACAACGTTTTATCAAGCGTTTTTGTTGTGACCACAATTCCCTGTTTCAGGTCAGATCTTTGGATCTACCGTTCCAGATATTTTTTAGCAATAAAAAACATTTTTCAATGATATGCTGTGTAAGGTCCAAGCAACATGACTCCAACTCTTTTCATACATAATAACTATTTTCCTCCCGTAACGTTGTGAAAGTTGTGTGATTTTAATCAGAGAAGAGCTAATTCTCAAATTTATAATCATAAGGATTTTATGATTCAATAGATTGCAGTATACCTTTTTCAGCATTTCAATGTGTGTATGAGAACTTTCATTGGACTTACTGCAGGAACAATCCATGCATTATTCAACTGCAATGAACAATAGAACCTCCAATATTCCCGTAAATAAACTCTAGTCCAGTATTTTATTAAAAAACACTTGAGTAAAGCCCTGGATGTCATGTGCAGTGTGCAGCAGTAGTAAAGAGCCATCCCTCCTGCCTCTGCCATACTTCATGCTGTCCCTTTTTACGGCGCACATAAAAGAGCAGATAAAGTTTACAATCCAGAGGAGCGGTGGGTATGTTTGCACTGGATCAGAACTGCCCTCCCACTCTCCCAGTGGGCTTTACTGTGGGCAGCAGGCTGGAGAAACCCCCCCTACCCACTCTCTGACCCACACTGTGTAAAAGAAGCCAAGCTCAGTCCATTATAGTCGGCTGTAATAGCTTCAGGAACCTGGGAGCCTCTGGAGACATGCTCATTAGCCTATTCCTCTCTCATAAAGCCCCCTATCCATCAGCCATATAGCAGCCACATTTGTATGCAGACGGACAAACACGCACCCGTCTGCGAAAACACTGTGGAGCGACTAAGGGCAGTAATGTCATTGCATCATATATGATCAACAATCTGTTATCACAAGCATTTCTAGCTTTAACAAATGTAGTTTATCAATAATGCAAACAATTATCAAATTATCATTTTGCATTGTATTACATTGACATAAAGTATTCGAATAGTATATTTGTAGGATTATATTTTGCATTATTATATCATTATCATTTCTTTATTCAGACTTGAGGTCCACACTCTCTGTTGCTGACAAGATTGAGATAGCTGCAAATCTCGAACTTTACATCAAACCTATTCAACTTAAGATCTCATGTGAATTTGCTTAGCTTAGTTTTGGGTGGTTGGTTCTAGTTCTTCTAAAAAAATGATGAAAAAACCTGATTGGTTGTGTCACGTTTTATTATGGTTGAGACATGTTTGTTTTTGTGTTATATTTAGTTACTATAAGTAGAAATGTTGTAGCGGCTTGACATACTTGTCTGGTCAGCCCAAATTGGTATATGATTTAAATATTTAGGATGATTTCCTTCTGGTATTGGCCAATTTTGTGCTAGTAGGAAGCAATTGTTCCCCCCAAAAGTGTTGCTTATAGGTCCTGTTTCTTGCGTACAAACTCATATAAAAATCCTCATCCAACCAACACCACAAAACTTGAAAGTCATGTCTACAGCATTTTTCATTCCAATGGCCTCTTCTGTAAATATGGCCATTTTACCAAAGAGCCAAGCCATATTATCAACACTTTATTATTCAAATATATTCCTCCTTCTGATTCCCAAGGCGGCAGGCAGTTGTGGTCAGGTAGACAGCACAAAGACGCACGTACAGTACAATGGTGGCATGTGGCTGGGTAAGAGAACGCCTGCAATAACCAAGCCTTTTCTTCCTATAGCATTAAGCGCAGGCATAAAAAGAGGAGATTTATTGGCATGTCGTAGCATCTGCAGGGGCCACAAAGAGGTGAGCAGGGCCTTTATCCCGGGGCAGCTGCGTACACTAGCCTACTGTAATGGTGGCGGTGAGCAGCACAATGAGAACGTGAAATACAGGAGGCTACATGACAACATTCTCAGACAGATGTGAGGATTTACAGCATCGACGCAGTTCTGCATGAGGCCATATGACCACGGGAGACCACAAAAATAGCAAAATGGAAAAATACATGTTAAAGGCAATGTAGCTTAAGTGAAGTTTGTGTTAGGATTTAAGCAGACAGAGACGGATCGTGGTGTGCCAAACTCTGGAAGTTTATTTAAGTTTCTCTCAAGTTCCACTGGTTTACTCTGTTTCTTCCTCTCAGACAGAATAAAGGCAGTACACAGTTTATATAGTCATTGTCACGTCACACATCGAAAGACATACGTGTCACAAAGAGACAGTCACATCATAGTCATAACATGGAGTCCTTGTAGAGTCCTTGTACAGTCCTGCACGTAGGCCATATTGCTATCTAATACTAACACCCTCCCCTTTGATCACATAATCACATGTGATCACTCAAATCGATCAATCAATAAAATGGAAAAAGAAAAAAAAAATTCCAAAAAAAAACTTCAAAAAATCATTAAAAACAAAGAAAATGTATGCATTAAACTCATAATCATCAAATCAATATCAGTGGATTTTATCCTCTATCCTGGGAAAAAATAAAACAAAAACAAATCAAAAATAAAAACAAGCAAACACTATTGGACACCCAAGAACTCAGCAGATTCAGTCAAAACACAGACAAAAACGAGCTGAGTCTCAAATTAGAAGCTAATTTAACTTTTCTTACTCTATACTTTTATTCTAATACTAATTGTTTACACTTCACTTCACTTATTTCACTTTAATCTTAGACTGTGTACTTTACTTTCACTATTCACTATAGTTTAAAACTATTCTAATCTATTTACAAATATGTTTGCATATTTGATTCTATTGAGCCATATTCTTAAACATACATTTTAATCTAATAAATCTCTCTTTAGTTTTACACTCTCATTATCAGTGGCATATTATCAGTGGGATTTTGCTCCATGTCTATTCTCATTCTCAGGAATAAAACTGTGAACACAGTTAGACAAATGGTCAACATTTACACTTCTATAGTGGTCAGTGATTTATTACTTTTTATTATCTAAAGATATTATTGTCAGGCAGTTTGGGATGAATGAACATCATTAATCAAATTAGTATTATCCTTACAAGAGCTAATCTGTTTTAGCATGTTTGGGGTTGGGGTCAGTTATTCTACAATGGTGTTTGTGCTGGAAACTTCTCAATATCTAAATATCTACTATTGTGTTTTTGTGCTATACACAAATGCATCAAAATGCTTTTAAATGCTTTTGAATCTCTGTTGGTTCTAATCTATCTCATTGATCTAGGCATTAATCTAGGCTACACTCATATGAACTTTTGCATAGTCAACATTCACTCATGTGTGAACACAAGTGAATTTGGCAAGTATCTAATAAAACTGTACATAAACTGTAATTAACTTTATCTACTTTTGAAGTAAATGCTTGTGAAATGGTCCCTTTACCATTTGATATTAGCACTGGCTACAAATATTCTCTATTTTTGAAAGCATCTATGGTTGATGCATTTATCTATTCCTATTTCTACTCTATTTTTTAACTCAAAAGCTTGGCTGCAGCTTGAGCAAAGGCATATTTCTAATCTGTGACTTCTGTCACTTTTAATGGCTCTAACATAACTCTGATTCTAATATTCTAGCTGATCTATCAAAAGGATAACATTGTAGGGTACTATTTTAACTCTTACGTGGAAATATGTTTATGAAAAACAAAGGAAGTCAAATTCTACTCTTTTACTACTATTTAACATCTACTAAAACGCTACAATACTCAAACTTTATCATTTTCAAAGTTTTTAACAGTTGCTCAGTTTTACCAGACTAAAAAAGTTTTTTTGTCTGTCAGTTGTCTGAATACTTAACATTTATATTGCATTTGGTCACAGGTTCTGGTTGTAGCAATAGCATCGGCAATAGACGTTTTCATTGGCTGGTTCTTGTTCCGCAAATGGCTGTGTCCAATAGATCATCAGATGTCCAGAAGCTAGGGACAAACAAAAACAAAAGAAAGAATCATGAGTATCTCTCTCATTTAGCACTCATCAATGTATGATTTCAAAAATATAAACATCACTCCCCAGTTTTCTCTCAGGTCCTCAGATCCTCAGGTCCTCAGGGTCCTCTGAGGGTGAGTCTCAGTCGTCATCAGGTCAGGTCATAGAGAGATGTCATCAGTAGGGTCCAAGCCATGGTTTGGTTTCTCCAGATGCAAATCAGGATCTCCAGATACAGTCTTTTCAGTTGAAGCGCATCAGGTCATTTGCGATGCACTTCTGGTCAATGGTGCAGTGTCACAGTTCCTGTACACAGCTTGTTATGCAATAGTTACTCTCTATGGTTAAGTCACTTTGATTCTACTTTAACACAATTTCTATTCATGCTGTTGCTAATGTCCCTCAGACAAAAAGCAAGCGCAGTTTACTTCTCTAATTTGTGTTTTTATCAGATCTAATTCTAATCAATGTAATTACTTCACACAGTACAAAATCAACAAATCAAAAGTGTCAGGACAGACGTCAATTAAGTCCATGACAATATAGAATTCAAATGAACATTTCTGGTCTCAAAAAATACTGATTCAACTAAAGATTCAAGTGATAGACAATTAAAAATATGTGTTTACATTGGAGTAAACTTTTAAAATGCTTTTTCTCATGTTCTGCTTTTTCATGTATCTATATGTAAATGTGAATGTGTGAGTGTATGAGTGTGTATGTGTGTGTGTGTATGAATTTTGGGGTTGTCTCTCCAGACTCCTCGAACCACCTGTAGGTGTCAAAGGTCACACTGTGGTGATGCAAACCAACTGGACACACTCTCAACTCCCTCTAGGTCTCTACCTGACGCTCCACCCATCACTGCCTCCAGAAACCTCCACTTTGTGGCCCCGGTCTCACTCCCACTTACTTCTGTAGTGGGGGGAGGGGCGTAGAGGTGGCATTTCCCTTTGCTCTTTGATCTGTGACCTGTGGCTGGGTGGGCTTTGCGCTGTCCAGTGTCCAGCAGTGACCTCTCGTACAGTGAGGCAGAGTCTGAAAAACAATCCTTGACACGGCCAATTTAAAAAACAACAGATACAGTATCAGTATGTGAATGAGATTGTTTTTCTCCCTAAAGTCAAAACAATTTTGAGATTACTTATTATCTTACTAATGATGACATTTTTAAGACCAGAAACTAAAGAAGTTATCAAAACAACAATTATACTCAAAACAAACAACCTTTTAAACTTTAAAACATGTATTATATACTTTTGTACTGTGTGATTAATTATCTATGCGTCCTTGGGTTTCTTGAAAGACGCCATGAAATGAAATTATGAAAAATCTCTATAAAAATGAACATTAATTTGTAAAAACATTTAAAACAAAACTTGAAATCAAACAAAAGATTTAGCTCCAGCTAAACTGGATTTGGTTCAATAAAACTCAATTGTGCGTCGGAGCTGCCTCCTCCTGTCTCTGAGCAGCAGCAAGGTCACGCGTGTAGTCAAAACAAAAACAAAAGTCACCGCTTGAATGTGAATTGGGTGAATTGGGTAGTTTAACTTAATAATATAATACTTTTACAGCCTAATTCTCTCTTTCTTTTTAGACGAAGTCTACAATCATTAATCACTTTTAACAGATTCTAATTTAAATGTTTGAAAAACGGCTTTTGTAATTAAAATAAAAAAATAAAAACAAACACAACTCACAAAAAGTTAAAAAAAGCAGCAGATTTAAAAGAAAAGCAAAGCTTTTTGTACTAATCTTTGGGTTTCAAAAACATACTAATTCAAAACTTCTATTCCCTAATGGTGTTTAAAAACGTTTAACTGTGTCTAACACAATGTTCAAATGGCAAATTTAGCAAATTTAACGGAATAACAACTATGAAAAGCCAAAAGTCCTAAAGCAGTAGCTTTGCTTCAGATTCACAGCCAGAGCAGCGAAGGAGGGGGCCGTTTCCCTGACAACGGCAGCAAGATAGAGATGTGCACACACAGGCAAAAAGATACAGAAGAATAACTTTCAAGATTACTTTGTTAAGCGAATATAACTGATGTTGTTCTTTATACTTTTGTCATTTATCAGCCTGAAATTCGTCAATTTCAAAGCTTTTGTAACAAAGGCCTCTTTAACACATTTCCCTTTTTATAATAACTTTTAATTTTACACCATGGTTTCACTAACTATTTTCTATTCTCTATTCTCTGCCCCGGCTACTCCCAAAGGCAGGGACCCCGATACGTCAGGGGTTCCTTTCTCTCTGTCCTGACTACTTCAAAGGACAGGGACCCCGATACGTCAGGGGTTCCTTTTTCTCTCTGTCCTGACTACTTCAAAGGACAGGGACCCCGATACGTCAGGGGTTCCTTTTTCCTATAGGGACTGGTTACCCACACAGCTAACCTGTTTTCTACAACATAAGACATGACAAAGACGTGACAAAGACACAACAAAGAAAATTTGATTTAGAGAGATTTGGACAGACCTCCGGGACAGCTCAAAATTTAGCTAGTATCCAATTATGCAGACTTTACATATTAAAAAAGGTGTCTGCTTACCTTAATTCTTTGTCCGGACTGTTCGAGAGGTCGACCAACATCTTTTCCGCGTCGAAAAATTCAATTTAAAAAACAAAAGTGACAGAAGCGACAAGAAGCATCCAGGAACAGCTCTTCCAGCCTGCTGGAATCTCCGCTCCCAGACACAGCATGCCGATCTCTCACGCAGAGGAAAAGAAACAGAGCAAGCTCCCTCAAAACAATCCAGA